CACCCCTAAGATACATCAGTGGGGCAGCTAGATAATGGGATAGCTTCTCCGGTGAGTGGCAGTTGCATCTTCCTTCCCTCCGACGACTGCTTGATCCAGATTTGTCATTTGTGTCGGATTGCGAGAGGAAGAAGAACGGGCATGGAAAAGATGGAAAAGGCGAGGCATGAGAAGAACATTCAGAACAACGGTTCCATTGAATTGGAAAAAACTTATTTTCATATACAAGCTTCCAAGTTTATACTATATATTATAGGCAAACGCATCATTCCATGCTTTAAATGTTCATTATCCAAAATCCATATATACGTATGCATTGTACTGCAGCTGCATCGTTCTGTAGCTAGCTAGCTGATAAACCATACTCGATGCTGCATGGAGCCATGGACTGATGAGGTACTAGTGTTCATTTTCATATACACAAGATTACAATCTTATGCTATTATTACATGGGCAAATGGATCGTTTCTACTGTACTTTCTACGAAGATCCATGCTTTATTTGAAAAACAAATTCATATATACGTCGTGTACTGCAGTCGTACGTATGGTACTATACGTCAATCTTAGTTGATAAACCATAGTACTCGACGATGCATCATGCATGGACTGATGTAGTTGTACTGGTTTTTAAGAGCTGTCCATGGTGGGGTAGCGGGCGAAGGTGGCAATGCCGCAGTTGTTGCCGCTCCCGCGCGTGAGGCGCATGTAGCCCCCCTCGCCCCACCCAGCCCCCCATTGGTTCTTCACCACCCAGTACTCCTGCCCGCCAGCCTCCGTCCCGTAGCCCACCACCGTGACGGCGTGGTGCAGGTTCCGCCCGCACGACGGGCTGCCCACGTACACGCCGCTCCTGTAGTGGTGGAAGTCAGCGTCGGCCTCCATGGCCACGGCCACCGGCTGGCTGGCCACGAGCACCTGCAACGCGCCCTCGTCGCCGTGCAGTGTCACGGACCGGTGGACGCCGACGGAGGCGGACGGGTTTGGGCTGAGGCCGCCGCTGCGGCACGCGCCCTGCTTGGCGTTGTACGTGTAGGCTGCCTCCGTCTGCAGGCCGCCGCTGGCGGTGATGTAGGTTAGGGCTGCGTTGACGAAGCCACTCTTGCAGCTGTTGGCGCCGCCCGTGCAGTCGAGCACCTGCTGCTCTGACATGGAGATGAGGTTGCCGGTGGCGATCTGCACCAGCCCCTCCGTCGCCGCCACCGCCGCGAACGCCCAGCAGCTCCCTGCACGCACGCAAACGACGTGTGAACATTCCCTTATTCATTTGCCAGCTTTGTCCTGTGGTATATGCTATGCTATGCATTCGGGAGGTGCAGATTCTTCTTACCGCAGTGACCTTGGTACTTGACTGGGGTGACGGCGCCCCGGGCCCTCCAGTCCACGCTGTCCGGCGTGGACTGCAGCTGAGCCATGGACACGTTCACCACGGCCGCCGGCGTGAGCCCGCCGGGCTGGTGACGGTACCCGAGGTGCGTGTCCGCGAACTCCTCGTTGGTGAGGTCGGAGAACTGGTTGAGCCCGAGCGTGTAGGTCCGGTTGCCCGCCCGGTTGACGGCGTCGATGTGGCGCGCGTTGGCCGCGAACACCTCCCGCCGGCGCAGCTTCTCGGCGGCGTCCGCGTACACGCGCCCGTACCTGGCCATCCACCGCTCGTGCCGGGCGGCGGCCAGCGCTTCCCCTCGCGCCGCCACGACGCTGACAAACGCGAGCGCGAGCACCAGCGCCAGCAGCGTTTGCTTGCCGTGGATAGGCGCCATTAGCTAGCTAGCTACTTTGCTTGCGATGGTTGGCGAGCGAGCTAAGCAGGTACGTACGTAGCAACCATGCCGCCTCCGCTTGTATTTATACGCGCGCGCGGTGCCGGCGCCAATGGCGAGCAGGACGGGGCATGCATGCCGCCTAGTGGAACGAACGTATTGACTGGGAGGGAGACCATGGATGGATGTCGTCTCTCCGTATCTTCTTCTTCTTCTCGACGGTGGTTGCTCTCGTCAGTCGTCGCCACTCACATATTCTTGGTCGCCGTCATCTTCTGCTACTTGGGAGATTTTTCTGGCTTCCCAGATGGTGCCGCAACACGCACGCATGCATATACCGTCGCACACGCACAGAGCTGGTCGCAGCTGCCTGGAAGAAATTGGCCGAATCGGCGTGCACTTTCTCTTTGCTTGCTGCTTGTTCACTCGCACTCACACGCATACAGTTTGGCGAATTAGTAAATTTACCGGTGCCGGTATGTACCGGTGCATGCGCAATCCACCGTTCGTTCGCCAGTCTCATCAAGATTCGTGCAGGTTTTATACAATTTCTTTTCATGTGCAAATACAACAGATTAAATAGAGCTATACCTGTATTTGTATCGGACAGTGTCCGCTTTTACAGAGAAGAGGGAGGGAGTGGAGAGAACGGTGCATGCATGTATTCTCTCACCACATACACTGAACATGCATTTCTTATTTTCATTCTCAATTTTTTAACGATTCATACCTTTTGAACCAAAAGTTCATTGTTGAAACTTTTTATATATTTGAATTCATGGTGTGCAGACCTTCAGAACAAGATCAATTTTGGATATATTTGAACTACATTTTTACATATATTTCAATTATCTTTGAAATCATTTTCATAAACACACTAAAAGGTTTCACTATTTCACATAAGTGATACCTACGATTTCAAACATTTTCACAAACTGGAATATGGAACTTACAAACTAACTTCACTCATTTGATTTCACTCGTTTTGAATAACTCATTTCAGTTATTTGAAGAACCGGTTTCACTCAAATGAAAAAACAAATTTGCTTGCTTCATAAAACAGATTTTGCTCATTTTAAAATTATATTTCACTCATTCAAACAATGATTTTCAGTTATTTCATAAATTTGGTTTCACCAATTCGAAAAACCTATTTCACTTAATTCAGAAAAAATGCACTTCACTTCTTCCAAAAAAGTATTTCACTAGCATGTGTTAAAAAAAGGCTTCACTCATTACAAAAACACTTGGTTCACATAGTTTAAATAAACTGCTTTCACTTATTTTAGAACACATATTTTGCTGAGTTCACGTATTTCAAAAACACATGATTCGTATATTTGAAAAATAATAGTTCCACATATTTGAAATAACCGATTTCACTCATTTTTGAGAAAATAATTTCACACAATTAAGAAAACAAGTTTCAGTTGTTTCACAATACAGATTTCACTCAGTAAAAAAGCATATTTTGGAAAAGTGAGTTTATTCATTTCAAAACACTTATATCACTTGTATCAAATAACTCGTTTCAAAACTTTGAAATAAAAGGTTTCACGTATTTCACACCGGAATATCTGTCATGTGTATGAAAAAAAAATCCACTCATTTCAAATAATTAATTTCACTCATTTTAGAAACGTTATTTCACTTATTTCAAAAGAACTATCATTTAAAAAACAATTTTACTCGTTTCAAAACTAGATTTCACGCAATTCAAAAATCATTTCATTTATTTCAAAACACAGATTTTTAACATAGTTCAGTCAACATAAATTTGATTGAAACGGTAAAATTGTAATTAGTTTAAATGCGTTGAAGATTGGTCTTGTTCAAAAGGTCTCATCGCTAGGAATTCAAAATATAAAAAGTTTCCGAAATAATTTTGTAGCTTAAAAGATATGAATGATTGAAATTATGAAAGCAGAAATAAAAGGACATGAATTTAGTGAGGGAGAGATGAGAGCTATTGTGACCGTGTCATTGTTGGGAGGAGAGAGAATATGTGTCATGTATGCGCAGATGGGATCACTATTTTGACTTAAGTGCTGAGATACGAAAATAAAAGTTGGACAATAAAGAGACATACTTATGGAGTAGGACCACAAGTGCATAGATTTTACAAAAAAGGGTTTCCCCCCGCTATCTACAAAGTGCATAGATTTTAAAGGCATTGTGTGATGGATGTTGTACTGGTACATACGTGAATCGGTAAAAGGAGGTTTTATGTATGTGGCCTGGGTTGCATGCTTGACTCACATTTTGCAGGAGAATGGAAAAAACGCAGCACCCTGATAAGTGCTACAAGTGTGGCATGAAGCAATTCCGCCTTGACTTTTTTATGCAAGTTTCAATTTGGATGGCAACTTTAGTTGTGAAGCACGGCAATTTTCTGTTTAGATGGCAAGTTTAGTTTTATTTAATTATTTGTTTCTTTCAGATGACAACTTTAGTGTAAAAAACGTCAAGGTGGTGTTACTTCGTGCCTATGCCAATGCATTAAAAGTAAGAAAATATGCACAACCAACTCATGAAAATGCTGGTATGACTGTAAATGATTTATTCTGAGATCATTTGAATACGAATGCGGATTATGGCAATTCCTTCCTAAAGTCCGTTTTCAGGTACTTGTTGGCCTATTCGCAGAAATAAATAAATAACTACGCGGGTGCCTTTTCCCCCAATATCGCCCAAGTGCCAGTATCCGCGCTCATTCAGAAACGACAGCCGATTCCCGGACTAACAACATACTGCATTTAACCATCAACTCTCAGCACACCAGCAACGGGAATAACAACAGGGCAGAGTGGCACAAAAGGCACGTCGATGACAGTACACAGAAGCAAAATATCTCTCTCAATTGCACAAGGGTTCAGTAGCCTAGTGAGCTAGCGACGCGATCAGGAGGAAAAGGATGATGCCTATTCAGATCAAAGAGCAGGGCATTGGCTAGTAAGAACAGGCACGGTAAGGCGGGGATCTTGTTATCGTAGTACAACCGCTGCGTTCCTCACAGCCAGGTACCTCTGGACGTATTCTTCGGGAAGCATTCTGATCTGCCTGAAGACCTCTGGGTCAGCGTAGCGCAGCTTCGTCCTCGGATCCATGTATGGTGCCTGCACAAAGGTAAAAAGGTCAGACTTGTAAAAAGTACTCCCTAACAGATGTAACAAGGGACGGCACCTAATGGGCAACCAAAAATGCTCTGTATCAGATATATGCATCAGCTAGTGCTACTGAAACTATGTAACCAGTGACGGCATGTACGTAGCAACAAACAGGTCATGCACGATACAGCACAACATGGAACATACTTGGACTGGTTGATGAGATACAAGTAGGTTCTTGGCGGCAACACAGATGTTTGTGTGGTGTTCTATGTAATTTCTTCTATCTCTCGCCAACACACTGCATCATCTGGACTACAGTCCTCAGCAGTCAGCAAAATCCAGGCTTAGGACAGATGGCCAGTGTTGGGTGCTGCTTCATTTGGGTCAGTTGCCCTGCCTCCAAGCCTTGAGTTCGACCAATACGATTGTCATATCATTAGGGTTCATTCATTTATTACAGCGATGCGTATGTGGGTGAAAATGTGAACTATTAGTACAGATGTCAGTAGGGTGATGTTCAAATTGTTCATGCATTACCAACAGCTGCAGACGTGCAGTGAAGTTTATGACCCTTGGTAATACTGTACATGGCAGTACCAAGTTGAAATTAACTAAACATGTTGTTCGCAGAGGCCGCGAGAGAGATACAAACTGTGAAAAGAACATTACAACTGAGAAGTATTGATTTTAGTTCACCTGCCTGTTCTAAAACATTAGTAAACTCACCCAAAACACTAATCAAGTTTTCAACTCTTAAGTTCTATAATATGCGTATACACTTAAGTTCATGTTTTATGGGGACTATGTTATTAATACTGTATTATAAAAATATTTACCAACTATAGTAGTGTATTTCGTTCATGAAGACTCCTGCTTCATTCATATAGGGATCTGTTAGAACAGCACAGACTTTAATTACATATGTTTAGGGGTGTCCACACCGGACTTTTACAAACTGTGCTAAATCGTCAACAGATTGCTAATTTTGTAATTTTCCAAAACTGTGATACATAAGTGCTAGTAAGTTTGTTGGTCCACAGGTTGGTCAACCTGTGTAAACAGCAATTGAACACCCCTACATAAGTGGCAGTATGAAAGCTACCAAAAACATCTAAATTTAGGTTGATAGTGAAATCTGTTCACAACATTTTTTCCAAAATAAGTCACAATTTTAGCAGCTCAATCTGGATTCTGTTCCAACACAGTCCTGCTGGGTTTCTGCTATGCCAACAAGTTGAATCAAAAAGCACTCATATTAACAGTACAATTCAAAGATAAAAATAACTACAACCCTGTTTTTTTTTCTCCTTAAAAGGTTGCAACAATATTGTATTAGCCTCGAATTACATTAACATCCACACAGATGAATATCCATATGCAAAATTTAATTAGACAGCATAAAACCAAATCTGAGGAACATTGCAAAAAGTATACAGTCAATAATTCTGAAAAATGGAGTGAACTCTTGCCAAAAAAAGGGGGGGAATGGAGTAAAGCAATTAGAACAATGCTGAATTAGAGCTTTCAGTGGGTCATCCATACAATTCTCACATTATTTAGCGGTACTTTTTTGTAGTAGTTACTAGTTAGAAGTTACCAAACACAATCAACTTTCAGATAATCACAAATTTAACTGGCCAGAGTTTATTTGATTTCAACCTACACAAAACCTGATCATACAGCGTCAAATAATAGGTTGCACACACAAACCTATCTTGTCAATAATACATCCGAGTTGCTTTTAAAAAAGGCTTGTGTTGGTTCATACAAAGCAGATAAGTGAGGACAGTGAAGAACTCCAAACAAAATGTTTATGGAGAGTAATTATAAGACATAAAAGATAACATTATGGCCACGGTCTCTAACATGGAACTATTTTTTGTTGATCTCTACCGGTACTGCTATGTCTTAGATCTAGCTGCTCATAAGCTACTTACTGAGTTTTCCTATGAGCCAGCTACTGGGAGAATAACTAAACTCAAAGTATCAGCTTATTCCTTCAAATTTATAGGCCTTGTTAAGCACAGCACAAAATTTCATCTCACTGGGAGAGTTTGCAACCAATTAACACTGCATGTAAACATGCAGTTTAGCATGATAAACAAAATTGTGGTAAACACAGGGCACAGCATTATGATCTACTTCAGACCTAAATGTATTCAAATTCCAAACCTTATCATTTAGAAGCATTGCAGGATATGTAAATCAACAGTTGGAGTCTATTGGGGTGACTTACCTCAAAGCCTGTAACGTCACAATATCTCTTTGGTGGATAAACGGATGGGGGTGACTGAATATTTAAATCTGCATAAAGAACATACTGTGAACATTATATTCGCCACAACAATTTTCTCTAAATACTACATGTGCATGCTACCTGAACACACAAATAACTTGTTTCGCTAATGTCAAAAATAAATCTAGAATGTTATCCAGCTTTGTACTCGTAACTGAGAGATACAGGTTCATGTAAAAGCTGTCTAATCGCCTTAGCAGTGGAAGCTAATACTTCAGAAGCTATGAATTTAGACACAAAGTCAGCAATCTATTGGTCTATTAACATGGCACTCTATCAAGCACGAGTTTGGAACCAACTTTTATTCTACTAAAAACACTGCCTATAAATTGAGAAAACAATGATGTTTCAGGAGGAAGTATTTGCATCTAAGGCTCTAAAGTGAATTGTGAGTTTGTATTATGTAACATGAGAAGAAGCAATTCAACTGCTGCTATTTGTTAGCACCAAAATACAGCACAATGTGCAAGCTCCCAGCATTGGTGGGCTCTTGGAAAAAATCCAGCATGCAGCTCCAATTTTCAATCTCTAATCACCACAAGTTTCTAGGCCTAGAGTGGATCATCGAATAGTCTTAAAACACCTCAACGAGCACAGGAAGGCCTAAAACCTACAAAGCACTTGATTTACAGACGAAATCTGCAATAATTGGGCAACTAGCAGCAGGAAGGGGATCGAGGCGCTCACAGTTGGGGCGGTCCGGGGGCAGCGAGGTGGCGTCGGCGGCCTGGAGGAGGTGGCGGAGGTGCTTCCACTGGCGGCCGCGGGACTGGCCCTTGGGGTACTTGTCGGCCGTCTGCACCTTCTTGAACGCCATCGTCGGCGCCAGCAGCATCTCCGCCCTCACTACCTCCGACTCCATGGTCCCCCTCCCTCCCGCTTCGAGCGGCTCGGAGTCGCGGCGATTCCGCTGGTGCGCGCTTAGGGTTGGAGGCGGTGTGGCCTACCGGGCAGCGCCTGCTTCAGCCACCGGCGGCCGGCGGGGGTAGGCGGCGAGACGGTTCGGGAAGTCACGAGGCGGTGGCGGCGGCGGTCGGGGGAGGAGGGGCTGAGAGAGTGGCCGCGTGGTACACGTCACGCGAGTAATGGCCTTCCCCGGCTGTCCGGTCGATCCAGCGTTCCTGCCGCATCCGACGGCTGGGATCCTTCTTCCTCCGCGGGTGCCACGTGGCATGGCTGCCGTGCGTCAGAGCAGCGGTGATGGTGCGGCAAAGGTGACTACACCGCGACGAGTCACCGCTGCGAGTTCTGCCTCTCTCATCAGATGTGATGGGGTCACCGCCGCGAGCGTGGTGCAATCACTGGGATGCCTTGTGCTCAACTTTCTTGTCAGGTACTTCGGGTTGCCTCTCTCTGTGACTCGTCTATCCAAGATTCACCTGTAGCCGTATGTGGATCATGGTGCCGGCCATCTGCCGATGTGGAAAGCCTCGATGCTCTGACGTACTGGGAGGTTGGTTCTGATTAACTCGACTCTCATCGATACGGCGATCTTCCCTATGCTCGTTCTCGGTCTTGCGATATGGTTTCTCTCTTGCATCAACAAGGTCTGTCGGGGTTTTTTCTAGTGTGGGCATGCTGAAGCAAAGGGGGGGGATGTCTGGTCAAATGGAAGCTGGTTTGCACGCCGATGAAGTTCGGTGGGCTGGGGGTCAAGAACCTGCATCGTATGAAAAGGCATGAGTGGACAAGCCTCGGTAAGGCTTGCAGATTGATGTTCCTCATGAGGCGTGTGCTCTGTTCGATGTCGCGGTAGAGTGTTCGCTAGGGCAGAGTCTAATATCGAGTATTGGTCGGACCGATGGTTCGATGGCAGGAGTGTGGGACGATGCATATGTGAGGCGGGCGGTGGGATGTCAGCTAGTTGCTGAGGTTCTGCCAGAGGCCAAGTGGTTGCAAGCTATCAGGGGAGCTCCATTTGTCTCGGCGATCGCTGAACTATTAAACCAGTGGACCATGATACAGAATGTCGAGTTGGCTCCACACCTTCACACCTTCAATTGGCATTTGACTGCGGACGGCAACTTCGTTATCTGTGCGTTCGGCATACTCATCATTCTTCCTTGTGCGTGAGTATGCGTTGGGCATGGCAGAGCTTTGGTCATCTTGGGCATCGTTGGAAATGTAAATTTTTATCTCGCTTGCGTTGCACGATCGCTTGCGGATGTCTGGCAGATTGGTGAAACAAAACCTGCAGCACCCTGTGCAGTGTGTTTATGCTGCCAGAAGGAGGAATCGGTGAACCATCTTTTGTTGGGTTGTTCGTTCTCTTGACAATTTTGGTACTCTGTGTTGTTACCATGGAGGCTACATAGATTCACCTCGCAACCTACCGACGAGCTCAAAGATTGGTGTCCTAGGTTGCATTCAGATGCTCCCAGGACTCGGAGGAAGGAATTGAACACTCTGGCCTGTTGCACATTAAGGATGATTTGGTTGTAGAGGAATAGTCGCGTTTTCGACAAAGCAGCATCAATGCCCTCCATTGTCACCGTGAGAGTTTGAAATGGGTTTACTTTGTGGATGTTGGCTAGGGTGAGTGGATCCGTGGACGATAATATGAGAATTGATGCTTAGGTGTTTCTAGGTTTGGGTGCTGGCTAAAGTGCCATGCATCCCTTGTACATAGCAGGCATGTTTGGTTGCAGTAGTGAACAATAGCTGCATTGCATACATATCTCAATCCAGCCTGGTTGAGCAAAAACAACCTAAAAAATGCTCATCTGCAAATTGTTTGGTTGCCTGCATCTAGGGTCCCTGCATTAGGCAATACGCAAGTGCACTTTGTTTGGTTGCCTGCATTGGCCCAAGCGGCACATGAGCATGGTGTTTGGTTGCACGCATGAGGTATGATTAATAGCTAGCACTTGCACTTAGCACATAGGGTTAAGAGCTAGCAGAGGGAGGGGAGAAGAAATGTAGTGTGCGTCGGACAATGGCGACTGCGGTGGATAGTGGTCATGGCGTCGTGTCAGACATGACGAGCACGGAGTCGTGGACGAGCGACCCCGTCGGTGAACTAGTTGCGGTGCTCGCGCAAACACAATCGGCAAAGGAGGAGAATGCAGTGGGACGACAGTGCAGTGTCAATGCAGTAGGAGGACGACAGAGAGTAGGCTAAGATGAGCGACACCGGAAACGACTCTAGTGTCGTAGGACGTGGGCAAGGAGATCAAGAGGAAGGGTGTCGGCATCGAGAGGGACAAATAGGAGGGCTATGAGCAGAGGACAGAGGAGCTCGACATGGCGGCGGCAGTGCAATAGGCTGTTGTTCAAAAAGAGATGAAGCTACAATCATCGAAAGCAAAAATTTACAACACGAATGTTGTGCGGAACTGCGAGATTAATCTGCTAGTCAAAGGAAATTTCAAACGATCAATCGTGCGCAACGAATCTGACAAAATTCGTCCAGAATAGCTTCAACGGGAAGACGAAATTAAGAACTTACGACCGACAAAACTACGAACCGATCGCCTAAATGGAACCGTATCATCAAGGTGCATCTTTTTCGTGTAGAGCTTACCTCTAATCGAAGCACCATTGTGTAAATCGGAAGGGGCTAGGAAGAACATAATTAGAGAGAAGGTTACTAGAGGTAGGAGAAGATAAGCACGCACAGGCTGCATACCAGCCCAGCTCGTATCCCTCCTATCTCCCCTCGTGCAAGTGGCCCACCATGTGCGCTCGCCTCAGTCTGGCTCGCTAGAAACTGCCAACCTGAGCGTTTCGAGCGAGCCAGGCCCAAGTGTACTTTAAATTTCGTGCCATGTGAGCCGCACAGTAAATACATGCAACCAAACGGTTCGCTTTTTTCCCGCACGGGCCAGACTGGGCCATATATATAGGCAACCAAACACGCACGCCCAGCGTGTACATGTTTGTACTTAATTTTTCTTCCGTATCTTAACACAAAATACACACAACTTGTGTGTTATTGGAAATAAAACTAAGGTTCTTGGTGACCTCGAGGGAACATAACTCGAATGCTTGATAGGTTGGAAATAGGGGAGGGATCATGAGACTGTTCATCTATAAAATATTGCATGCTTCTATGAGCAACGAAGTAAAAAAAAGAAACAAAGATATAGGTAGTTGAAAAGAAAGTACTTTAAGTATCTTACAATATTCTGCTGCCAATTAAACTACAAGGGGTAATAAGCTAAAACTAATGAAGATGAAGGTAGTGGTGGCGATGGCATTGTTAGTGATGGGGGTGTAGAAGTAGTGATGCCTCTATCATGCTCATGCTCAGGCTCTCAATTCTATTGGTGTCCGCTTTAGAGGATCCTTATTCATTTAATTCTTAAAAAGTGGTCTGCTGAAATAGTTGTATGACTGATAATTTATGGATACAAATGTATCCAAACTAACCTGTTTATTTGTGGCAGGAACTAAAGAAAGCCTCGTGTAGTGAATCACCGGGGGCTCAATTCAGTCGTCGTGGAGCCCGTTCCAGTCAATGGGGCATTCAATCTATCACGGAGCCCGTTTAGGCCATCTGGGGATTGATCCAGACGTGGTGGAGCTCGCTCTGACCGCTAGGGCGCTCGATCTAGCCGTGGTGGAGCTCCCTTCGACAGCTAGGGCGCTTGATTTGGCCGAGATCCACTACATGGGGCGCTCGATTTGGCCAAGATCCACCACAAGGGGTGCTCCATCTGTCGTGGCTGCTCCAGTTGCCAGGGAGCGACAGGCTGCCTAGTCCAACCAACTGGCACAATGGTAAATCTTAGCAGATATTTCTCGCCTCCTTTTCCTCCCCCTTCTCCTTCCACCTTTTTTTCTTGCTTTCCTTGATGGACCTCCCGAACACACCACGAGACCACGGGGCGCCCCCCCCCACGCTACCAGTGCAGGGGCTATGGTGGCACCACGCATCCACATAGACAGAATAAAAACGAGGCAATATGTTATACTCTATACCCCCACACAAGCCGAGACTACAACCTCAGAAGGGCCATACTCCCCTCCTTCTCCAAACTACAATATTCCATATCCATCTTCCTCGTACACATCTTCTTTCCCAAACCCCCTTTCCTTATCCATCTCCCTGTACGATCCCAGCCGCCGCTAACAGTGCTTTCTGGCACAAAAAATTGCCGGATCCAGCGCCTCTACCACATGTTTTTTCTACCGGTTCCCAGATCTGGATCCATTCTTGCGCTTTTCTTCCTGGGTGCGCTTCAAGGATGTGCGATGGTTGGTACATGCTGTCACTCCTTCGTTTCTGTCGGCATCCAACTGCGTACTAGTGCGCCGGGGCATGATCTCTACCGAAAAAAGTCGATGAAGATCGGGAACAACAGTGTTCCTCCCAGATCCAGCATCGGCGTGCCGTTTTCTACCAAATCTCGCGTTCAACGAGATCAAGGCCATTGCCAGATGGACAAGCTAAAGGCTATGTGGCAGGCGAACTCAAGGTATTGCAGGCACCGACCATGGCGTGCGCACTTGCGCTACGTCTGGACCACACTATATCTTTCCTTTTCCGCCTTGTGTTTCCTTGCCTTTTCCCCTTCTATTACCTAACCACCACCAACTGTGGTCTTTGGCATGAAAAATTCTCGGATCCATCGCCTCTACCACATGTTTTTTCTACCGGTTCCCAGATCTGGATCCAATCTTGCGCTCTCTTCATGGGTGCGCCTCAAGGATGTGCGATGGCTGGTACAAGCTGTCGCTCCTTCGTTTATATCGGCATCCAACAGCGTGATGGTGCGCTTGGGCACGATCTCAGCCGAAAAAAGTAGGTGCAGATCGGGGACGACCGTGTTCCTCCCAGATCCAGCACTGTCCCGCCGTTTTCTGTCGGATCTCGCGTTCAACCAGATCAAGGCCATTGCCAGATGGACGAGCTAAAGG